GTGTGTGTGTGTGTGTGTGTGTGTGTGTGTGTGTGTGTGTACATTGTGCCTCTGTACACATGTTAACCTGTGTTTGTACTAATGGTTCCTCTGTCTGTGGTTAGAGATTAGCAGCTGTTTGGTCCATCAATAAGCTCTGTGAGCGATCAGCCGTGTCTTTTCTCTCTTGTGTCTTCAGATACGTCCTCTCTGTTCACCAAGCTTACCTTTCTTTAAAAAATAAAAAAACACCACCCCTGTTCCCTCACAGCTTGTAAATTAGCCAACTGTCCTCAGAAGAGCAGTTAGCCTGTGAAAGCGTTAGCTATCAGCCTGATGAGGTTCTGCCAGGAGCGGAGCATCCACAGCTTGTGAACTTGTGAAAAAGTATTTTGCACATGTCATTTTTTTTTTCTTCAGCAGCAGTTTTTTTTATTACTATTATTATTGCCTTCTGCCTATAACAGTTCCAATAAACTATGATGCTTGTACATATCAGATATTACTTGTTATATTGTATTCTATCATTTTTTTCTTAATTTGACATTTTTTGTAGTTCTGCTTTTTTCATGATTGCGTCTGTCAGTTGAACAGATGTGGGGTGAACAGTGGAAGTGGTCATTGTTTCATTTGTTTGTTTTTTTAAATAAAGATATTCCTGATTTCTAGCACTGTCTCGTGTTATAAATTATAGGAATTTTCATGAAAATGAGACAAATGACAAAACACAAAGAACAAACAGCATGGAGTATTTTAAAATCCCTAACAGGAAAAAAAATCTTGAGAAAAATTCATAAAATTCAAGCATAAAACAGCTTAAAGAAAATTACAGTAGCTAAATACAACTGATAAAGAATGATGCCCTTGAAGATATAGTAATATCAGGGGTTAAACTTGTCTAAAAAAGTGGGAAACAATTGAAAAATAWTTTCCTATAGCATATTATGACTATAAATGTCAGTTTGTTTGTAGGTCAAAACCTGGAATACTTGTGAACAACTGACCTGAAATGTAAAAATAACAGATAAAGAAAACATGTCACAGAAGCAGCTTTGACCTTTTTATAGTTGCTAGTGCGCATGCGTAAATGGAGCGCCACGCCCCCAAAATACATTCATAGCTATTTCCGGTTATCCAAGGTTGTACATCTGCTTTTTATTGACTTTTACAAATCGTGTTTAGAAATTGTTTTTTTTTTTTGTATTAAGGAGATGTCACAATTACAACGTAAAATATTGATAAACGAATATATAATTACGCTTTTGTGTAAGTCAATGGAAACGCAGGATAGCTATAAATCATATTTGGTACCCAATTTTACGCAAGTCCATAGATAAACGTCTATTAGCGCAAAAACATTAAACACATATTTTAATATTTAATAAAACATATTTATATATATTTAAGGTTAAACTTTCATTAATCGCATGACGAAAATACTCGAATATTAGTAGGGTTTTATTTTGGAAAACCTCCACCGGAAGTTAGCGTACGTCAGTCAAATTGACGTAGGTCGTTTTTTTCAGGAGCATCACAACATTGTTTAGCCGCTACATTCCGAGGTGGAAAAGCATCGCTTTTGTCTTCGATGAAGGTAAAACAGATGTGTCAGAGGGATGTGGATAAACAGAATATAGATATTTCGACATTTTGGTCATTTTTGTGTTTGTTCTTTTTTAGCAACTCAGTCTCTGCCGCTGCGTGTTGTCGACCTTGCTGGTGAAGGGAATGTATTGTACAAACGTTATCTCATCTTATTTGCGATTGAACGTGTCTGCTTCAAGTAAAAGGCAGTTATGTCCGAGTAGTTCGTGTTTGCTGTGTAATAAATAGCTCGAAGCTGCGGCCTGCAGTGTTTACAAACAGCTCGCATCATGTCGAGGTCTGACTCCGCACATTTTTCACTGATTTCAAAGATAAATTCTCAAAAACCGACCGAACCGAGCAGGAATCTGTTTGTCCTTGTGGGTCACCTCCTCCTCCCCTGCTGCCAAACTAAACCACCTCCTGGACCACAGCAGGCCTCGACCATCCTCCGCCTCTTTGTGTTGTTTTACCTTAAAATGGCTCCTGTTAATTTTAATATGAGTGGCGTTTTATTTCTGGACTCAGGGTGTCTGCTCTCCATCAGCTCATCCCGCTGCTGCTGCTTCTGTAGACGTGTGTTTTTAAGGTGAAGTGTGAATATTGGTGCATTGCAGTCAGTGTGTTTGAGGGAGGGGGGGAGGATGGGTGAGTTAGACGCTGGAGGAGAGGGGGAAGGAGGAGAACAGGTGCCTCCTCCATCAGAGCTGCAGGAAAAGTCAGAAAAAAGTCTTCAAAACCTGTCTGATCTTTATTATGTAATCTGTTGTTGAACAGATGCGTTTATGGAGATGATTTAGCACCTCATTAGATTTAACCGATTCTTGTTCATTTTAKGATATATTTGAGTCAAATCAAATTTTCTTACAAGCACATTTTAAAATGAAATCAGCATTTCTTCGTGAAATAAACAAATTTTTTGTGTGCAGTCTGTTAGAGGTCAGGGGCGCCACCAAGGCAGGGGTCAAGTGGGCTCAATGACCACCCCTAAAATAACTGGGAATTGTAGCTATTTTTTGTATTTGCTAAAGTTGATTAGCTATGTTTTAACTACATTTCGTAGTTAAAAAGTAGTTAGAAAGCGGCAGAGCTCAGGTGTAATGCGGCAGAAATGCTGAGGCTGCTGTAGAAACACAATTGGAACTTAAACGACTCGGTGTATTTGCTCTAAACGTATCAGGTTTAACTCCACTTTAGGATTGTAAATGTAAATTATTCCATGTGACCTGTGACCCAGAATAGTTGGTCTTAGGGCTTGGCGATTAATCAGATTTTGATCTTGATTACGATTTGGGTTTTCATTGATCATAAAAACATAATGATTGAAGTTTGCACTGCAGCATATGGTTATACTGTTTTTTGTGAGTCCAGTGCCACTGCCAGCAGATGCTGCAGGCTCCTGCCACAACCAAAGTTTTACTTTGTCTAATTTTTTCAAAAATATTTGAAATCCTGAGGGAAACATTAACAGCCATTGTTTATGTTCAATAAATTCGTGTTATCAAAGTGAATTAAAATTTTCCTTTCATTTAGTGCAAATATTTGCAATTTTTCTATATTAATTATAAGTATTACGTATTTTAATAGAAATTCTCTGTTCTTCTTTTCATTTTGATGAGTTAAAATCAGCTGATATTTAGTTCATGCAGAAAGCTGCCTGTTTAAAAGTTAAAAAGCTCCTTTTAATCTGGGGTCGTCCCTCCGTGCTCCGCAGCCTCCTCCCCTTTCCCATGGTGGACGCGTTGAGCGATGTTTCTCCCTTTAATTGAATTTTCTCGTCCCTGACAGATGCTGCGTTAGCATCAGGCTCACAGGAATCCTCGGGGGGCAGATTTAAATCTGCTGTAACTACAGTCAACTAATGTGTCCGCTCGTTATCACTCTCTGACCTTTGCCACGCTCAGGAGGCTCGACTCACCGTACGAAAAAGAAAAGCATCGTTTAAATTTTGACCTCTGTTTGAAATAATAAAAACGGGTCATCTTTGTAGCTTAACATGCTTTTAAACGTTTGATCTGAATGATCTGTAGCTTTGGCTTTTCCCTTTTATAGCTCCAAATGGCAGTTTTAAAGTAACTAAGTACAAATACTTTGTTACTGTACTTAGAATTTTTGGGTATCTGTACTTTACTTGAGTAATTATTTTTCAGTCTACTTCTTACATTTTCACACAGTTATCTGTACTTTCTACTCCTTACATTTTTAAAAAAGTAAAGAAGTACAAAGTTGTTACTTTTATTTCATTCTTGCTTGTTTTCATTCCAGCTTGTTATTGTAAAAAAATAAATGCTATTCATATGAACTCTGCCTCCTAAATAGAGTGAATTTAACTGTGTGTGGATGAGAAGTATAAATATATAAAACTCTGATTACACAAACAAATTATGTCACACTCCAGCAGGACATAATCATTAAAATAAAAGGACTGTACTTAAGAAGTATTTGTTTTTCATTTCATTTCATTATTGCATTTGACCTGCAGCCCTCAGATTTTCATTGTCATGTCCTCAACCTCCATCGCCTTGTCTTCTTTTTATGACATCATCAAAAAATGGCAGGCTCTTAAAGCGTAGTACCTAAATTCCACCACTAGATAGGAAAAACTGAACATGTCTGTAGTATAAATCTGTGAAATGTCAACAAACTGACACACAACAGCACACTCCCCGTCTGAAACTAAATTGTTTCACCATTTACAACATTCTCAAACATTACTTTTTGGAAGAAATAAGCAAAACTATTTCACTTGCAGGTCATAAGAACAACTTTACGCCATCTGCTTTTGCCATTCTGACCTGAACTTTCCGAACAAGTCCATCTTTACTGGGGAACACCTCAGCAATGATGCCCATRGGCCAGACATTGCGTTTCACTGCATTGTCTCTTAGGAGTACAACATCTCCTKGTTTTAAGCTTCTGTGTTCAGATGTCCACTTTTTGCGAGGTTGCAGAGTTGATAAGTATTGCTTGCGCCATCTATCCCAGAATGTGTCAGACAGACTTTTGACCCTGCRCCACTGTTGTCGGGACAAGTCTGTCATCAAAGTCTCCTACGGGTGCCGGACAGGGACCCATTTTYTGTGTTAACAAGGTTGCAGGTGCAAGAATGAACGRATCCATAGGGYCATAGGAAACAGGAATCAATGGTCTGTTGTTCACAATGGCRGTGACCTCTGCCATGATTGTTACGAGCACCTCGTGTGTGAGTTTGGAAGACCCCATCTGAAGAAACATTKAGTCCAAAATGCGACGTGTGACACCAATCATCCTTTCCCACACTCCCCCCGTGTGAGGAGTGCGGGCTGTTGAAGGTCCATGTACAGTCATGATCTGAAAGAAATCTCTTCACAGATTCTCCATCAATGGTCGATGGGATTCCTAGGACCTTTGAGGCTCCGATGAAATTAGTTCCTCTATCAGAKCRGATGTGCTTCACTGGTCCTCGGATTGCCAGGAACCTTCTCAATYYATTTATGAAACTGGAGGTATCCAGAGATTCAATAACCTCGATATGGATAGCTCTGACACTTAAACACATGAATAGAATGGCCCATCTTTTGCTTTCCGCATGACCTCCTCTTGTTCGTCGGGCAGATACAGACCAGGGGCCGAAAACATCTAGGCCAATATTTGAAAATGGCGGTTCAATGCTGAGCCTGTCGGCTGGGAGATCTGCCATKTTTTGAACTTCACACCTTCCTCTGAGCTTTCTACATGTGATGCACCCGAAGATGAGCTTACTCATGTACCGTTTGCAACCGAGGATCCAAAAACCTGCAGATCTGATGGCTCCTTCAGTAAAATGCCTCCCTTGATGTCGAGTGTCTTCATGGTAATGACGAACTATCAGGGTGGTGTCATGATGACGGCCAGGTAGAATCGAAGGTCTTTTTTCTTCAGTTCCCAAGCTTGCTTCCTGAAGACGACCACCGACCCTTAGAACACCCTTCTTGTCAATAAATGGATCCAAAGACCATAGCAGACTGCTCTTTGGAATGGTTTCCTTAGAAGCAATTAGCTTCAGCTCTTCTCCAAAGACTTCATGCTGAACAGCTTTGAGTATGACCATAGTGCTGCGGTTGAGAATATCCACTGATAAGTGTGAAGAACACAAATGCCAGCCTTTACACTCAGTTGAGACATCACTCTGTGCCTTTTTGAAGCATTGGATAATGTGAATTAATGCACCAACTGCTTTAATAACTGTTCTCCAACATGAAAAGCGATTGAAACGATGAGATCCAAGATGCTGAGACACCACTGTTGACAGAGTTGTCACTTTCCTTATTTCCGGATCGYGCTCTGGCTCCAAAAGCGCAAACGTTTGCTCTACAACTGATGTGTCTTTAGGTTTGGACAAAAAGGCTGGGCCAGTAAACCATATTGTGTTTCTCAAAAGTTCTGCTGGGACAGGTCGTGTTGCAGTGTCTGCAGGGTTGTACTCCGTATGCACATATTGCCATTGCTGTGGCTGTGTGCTGTGTCTGATTCTTTGGATTCGGTTGTGAACAAAYGCATGAAATCTCCTTTTCTCATTGTAAATGTAACCCAGAACAACTTTGCTGTCTGTGTAAAAAGTGATTGTTGTGAAATGAATGTCAATTTCYGAGACAATAATCTCAAACAAATTCACTGCCATAACTGCGGCACAAGGTTCCAGTATAGGGTATAGTATCCAGGCTGTGGAGCAGGTCTTGCTTTACTTGCTATCAATCCTGTGTAGCATTTCCCCTGTCCATCTACAGTTTTTAAAYAAGCAACCGCTGCCACTGCTCTCTCTGAGGCATCTGAGAAGACACATAGTTCGGTGTGCTTAGCAGCAGATGGTGGCACATGTGTGTAAGATCAAGGGATCTTAAAATGCTGCAACTCTTTGAGAGTGTTTCTCCAGCTTTCCCACAACTTCTCCTTTTCTGGGGGAAGGGCAGCATCCCAGTCCGGGGAATCTGTGGTGAGTTCACGAAGAAGTGCTTTACCCTGAATGGTGATAGGAGACACGAATCCAAGTGGGTCGTACAGGCTGTTTACAGTGGAGAGGATTCCGCGCCGGGTGAATGCTTTTCTCTCCTCTTGAACTTGATAAGTGAAACTGTCTGAATCCAAGTCCCACAGCAAACCCAAACTGCGTTGCATAGGCAGATTATCGGAATCAAGATCCAGGTCTTTCAGGTTTGTAGCATGATCCTCGCAGGAAAAAGCTTCCATAACCTTTTTACTGTTAGAAGCCAGCTTATGTATCTTGAGATTTGAACCAGCTGGCATTTTCTGAGTCCTTTTCAGAAGGTTGATGGCATCCTCTGGAGAAGGAAGAGATTTCCGGCCATCGTCCATATAGAAATCACAGACAACAAACTGTCTGGCATCCTGTCCAAAATCCTTTTGACCAGCCTCTGCTGCTCTTCTGAGGCAGTAAATAGCTACTGCAGGGGAAGGGCTATTTCCAAAAACGTGCACCTTCATACGGTATTCTGTTATCTCTCCTTCAGGGTCGTTATTCTTGAACCAGAGAAACCGGAGAAAATTGCGGTCTTCTGATTTGACCGTGAAACAGTAAAACATTTGTTGTATGTCTACTGAAAAGGCGATTGGTTCCTTTCTGAACCTCAGAAGAACCCCGATGAGGCTATTATTGAGGTCAGGCCCTGTCAAAAGTACTTGATTTAAGAAATGTCCGTTATGCTGTGCAATAGAGTCAAAGACCACTCTTATTTGAGATGGGTTTTTTTGGATGAAAAACCCCAAAGGAAGGAAGGTAAATACCAATGCTCCTCGCCGGGTTTCAGTGAAGGTGCTTCTTCTGCATGTCCATTTTTAAAGATCTTTTCCATGAAGTCGAAGAACTGCTGTTTCATCTCCGGTTTCTTTCTGAAATTTTGCTGCAGTGAGGGGAGTCGCTCAAGTGCCTGTAAGCGRTTGTCTGGAAGCTGCGGTCGCCATGTCCTGAAAGGAAGAGGAGCCACCCAGTTGTTCTTTTCATCCTGGTGTACTTCTCTGTCCATGATTGTAAGGAATTGAATGTCCTCTATTGAAGGAGCCTCCAAGTCATCATCCTTTTGTCTGATGAAAGACGCCAGCGTCAGAGGCTTTACAAGTGATCAAGTGATGAAGCCTTTGTGTAAAGAAGAAACTGAGATGGGATTATCACAGCAGTATCTCTCTTCAACTGTGTAACTCTTTGGACATGGCTCGAATAGGGAGGGGCGTCCATTTTTTAAGATGTTGGTGTAACAGAACGTCACCACCAATGGCTTATGTACAACTCCAATGCATACATCACCAACAATCGCCCAGCCCAAATCCAATTTTTGGGCATATAGGGCATTATGCGGGCCATTTACTTGTTTTCTGGCCTTGTGTATTCTGATAATGTCTCTGCCTAATAAGAGCACAATAGAGGCTTGCTCATCAAGCTTGGGAATATACTGTATTTTGCAAGGGGTTTCAAGTGGCTATGGTTCAATACCACTTCGAGTGTCGGGATTTCTGAACTATTATTTGAGATTTCATTGCATTCGATTAATGTTGGCACAGAGAGCTTAATGCTGCCATCAATAGCCTCGATCATGAAGCCACAGGCCTGTCTGCCTTCTGTTTCCATGTTTCCTGCACAGGTTTTCAGGAAATATGGTGTGGCAATCCCTGATATATTGAACAGATCGAAAAATTCAGACCGTGCAAGTGATCTATTACTCTGATCATCCAATATTGCATACATCTTAACTGCAGCATCAGGACGACCAGCAGGAAATACTTTCACAAGTCTTATTTTAGAACAGGAACGTCCTGAGATTTCCTTACCACAGATTTTGGTGCATGTCGTGGAAAAAGCCGCTTCCTTGTTGTCATTTATTCCCTCCYCGCCGTTCTCTGATATAGGAGAATCTGGAGTCTTTGACCACGGTGCAGTTCCTGGATGTAGTGCTGTAACATGTGTTTTACTTTCACACTCTGTACAGATGATCTCTTCTTCACAGTTCCTTGCCAAATGTAAAGCTTTGCAACATTTATAACAAATCCCATATTTCTTCAGAATTGCCTTTCTTTCTTCAATGAGCATTCTGCTGAAGGTTTTACATTTAGAAAGAGGATGAGGTTTGTTGTGTAGCACACAATGTTTGGCTGGATCATCTGTTGTGRCGGGCCTACTTGCAGATGGAATACTGGTTGGAGCAGAGCCACAGTGCTGTCCAGGTAATGTGTTAGTAGAGACTCCGGTCTTCAGTACAGCAAGAGGCTTATGACCATCAGTTCTCAGGACTTGCCTATGGTGCTCAGTTGAATCATTATTCAATATTGYCAGCATGAAAYTGGGGTCAGATCTCATTTTAGCTTGATTACACACAAAGTTCACAAAGAAACTGAATGGAGGATGGAGAACCCTGTGTTCTTCTTTGWATTGAAWTCCTKTTGTTAGCCACTTWTCTTRTAAATAGAATGGCAACTTCTGCACRACAGGGTTAATGCCACGAGGCGTATCTAAGTAACTCAGACCTAGTAGATCACCATCTGCCTTGGCTGCCTCTATCTCCATTWACAAATCTCYRAGTTCTCTTAATTTGCGGTGGTCTTTATTAGARMTTTTGGGAAAACTCTCTAACCTTTTGAACAAGGAGTTCTCAAYCACCTCTGAAGCCCCGTAACACTCATTTAGTCTGTCCCAAACTGCCCTGAGTCCRTACTCGGGGTAATTCACRTGCACTGTCCTAATACRTCTAGCATGTTCTGCTGAGTCTTTCCCTAGCCACTTAACTAAAAGATCTAGCTGTTCRTTGGCTGAGAGGTTTAAATCTCTGATGGCACTCAAAAAGGATGCTCTCCAAGCCCTAAAGCATTCAGGACGGTCATTGAGCTGTGTAAGACCAGTGGACACTAGTTCCCGTTGTGCAATGAACCTGACAAGGTCTGACATGCATTTACTTTCATCCCCTTGACTCATTTGCAGATGATTATTTGTGTAGCAAGCACTCTTTGACAAAGGCGGGTTGTCAGTCCTGTTTCTATAGTCTGTCGTACTGTAGGATTCTCCAAAGAATTTGTGTTCTGCTCAATTTTTGGCATAKATTTTTCATTTAATCTTGACTGCTTCGTGAARTGGTTTTTGGATCCAACTGTCATGGTTAGATTTTGAGCCTGCACTGCTATGGTATGTTCCGAGTTTGGGTGAACTGGCAATGTCATTTCTGGTGCACAGATTCTGCAATCAGAGTCACGTTTACGTTCGTGTTGGGTTAGTTGCAGTTCTGTATCACATGAATAGGTTTTTATTTTAGGCATGCCAAGAGTGCCTTCACTTTGGATAGCACTCTCTACATATTCCTTTGTGCGCGATTCTGAATCCTCATTTGGAACATCTATTTCACTGAACGCTTCACCCAGCTGTTCCACAGCTGACTCTAACACTTCTGCTTTAGCCTCTGCAGCTGCAGCCTTTTTCTGTGAACGAACTTTATCCAGCGAAGCTTCTAACTGTGTTTTTTGAAGCTGTGTTGAAGCCTCCAGCTCTGCTTGTTGTATCTTCAGTTTAACCTCTTTCTCAACAAATGCTGCTTCAGTTTTTGCTGCTTCTGCTTCTGCACGTGCCAATGCTGCAGCTGCTTTGCTGGCTGCCGAACTTGTAGACTGCTTAGACGAGCCTGAGATGCGTGATCTTGTTTTAACAGATCCTGATATGGAGCTTTTCCTTGACATGATGAAGACTGAAGCAATTTGCTTACTTTTTTGATGAGCTGGTTCTTTTCCAGTTGACTAGTTCTTCCATTGTAGAAGGTGGTCTGTCAGAAAGTGTTGTTTTACTGTCATGTCCTCAACCTCCATCGCCTTGTCTTCTTTTTATGACATCATCAAAAATGGCAGGCTCTTAAAGCGTAGTACATAAATTCCGCCACTAGATGGGAACAACTGAACATGTCTGTAGTATAAATCTGTGAAATGTCAACAAACTGACACACAACAGCACATTCATTTTGAGGAAGTTTTGTGCAGCCTTGATATATGTATATAAACTGAAACAGCTGGACTAGTACATCCTAAATTTAACATTAATTATTTTAATACGACAGTCATTTCTTTATTTTTTTGGGGAGGTCATCTCCTATAAATGTCCTTACAGAATATCTAACTGCTCATTTTAAATCAATACTATTACTTTTCATACTTAAATACAAAAAATATCAGATACTTTAATACTTTTACTCAAGTAATATTCCTAAAGGAGGCTTTAACTTTTACCAAAGTAATTTTTWGGTATTATACTTGTACTTTTACTCAAGTGTCACTTTGTGGTACTTTATACAACACTGCCTATGGTCCTCAGCGGGTGATGGATGTGTGGGGTAAAGGTGAAATGCAGCTAATAGTTGTGGTTTTGTTTGTTAAATGTGTTYGGACACAGTGTGCCTGAAAGCAGGAAATGTCCACCATGGTGTATCCACGCGAAGAAGCCCTGGAGCGACTGAACCAGGATGAGATCGTCCTGAACACCAAGGCCGTCATGCAGGGTCTGGAGACCCTGCGGGGTGAGCACGCCCAGCTCCTCAACTCTCTGCTGGACTGCACCCAGGCGCCCATCGCCCAGGAGAAGTCCGGCYTGCTCCGGAAGAACCTGGAAGACATCGAGCTGGGCCTGGGAGAGGCGCAGGTACACTTTATTTATTTATTTATTTTTAAATAATCTTCAGAATTTTGTACCTTAGCTGTTCTAATCGCCCCGCTGCAGGTCATCATTGCTCTGTCGAGCCACCTGAGCGCCGTGGAGTCGGAGAAGCAGAAGCTGCGCGCCCAGGTGCGCCGGCTCTGCCAGGAGAACCAGTGGCTGCGGGACGAGCTGGCGGGAACGCAGCACAAGCTGCAGCGCAGCGAGCAGAACGTGGCCCAGCTGGAGGAGGARAAGAAGCACCTGGAGTTCATGAACCAGATCAAGAAGCTGGACGACGACGCCTCGCCATCCGAGGAGAAGAGTCAGAGCTCAGGGGGCGGAGGCGGCAGCGGAACCGGAGGAGGAGATGCTTCAAAGGACAGTCTGGACGATCTGTTCCCCAACGATGACGATCAGGGACCAGGTAGGGTCCGCAGCTTTTAGCTCTGCTCTGATGAACAAAGCTGCTACCACAATTAAGTACACTACAAACAATAAAAACATTTAATGCTCAATAAAAACACATATATCCCAAATCAGTAAACAAACCAACAAATCAGACTGGAGCATCAGTAACATGAYATAAGACTATATAAGCCTACATTATTTATTCTGATTGATGTAGGGAATAGCCTGGCCCTTCTCTTCCTACGCATTTCCACTCAATTCTAGTTTSCCTTCACTGCTCCGTCTGGGATTTCTCCCATTAACAAGGATTTCTTCTGGAGAATTTTCGTCCGGGCCAATCAGAGAACAGAACGTCGACTTTCTGCGTAGTGTCTGCTAGTTAKTTTAGCATACGGCAGTGGAGGAAGTGAATGAAGCCAGTCCGTGTTGATAAGGCTTCTAAATTAAATTAAATTTGTCTGACAAAGCAGCAGCTCTCATTTACAGTCGTCTCGTTCAGCTCAGTACTTCTCTCCTCTCAGTAGGGTTGTTTACAGCACACTCAATTTCTGTTTAACTTCTTAGCTTAGCCTCCTTCACGGTGGAGCCGGCACGCATCCGTTGCGGCCAATCGATCCAGTCATTTTAAACTTCAGCAGAGGCTACGCCTCCTGCAAGAATCACTTCTCTATAGCCGAGAGTTCAGACCCTCGTACGAAGCAAATTGAAGGACGATGGTCTGGTTTTACCAGGCTATGTAGGGACTAATGAATTTTTAAATCTGTTAAGTCTGCAAACATTGTGAGTTGAGGATGTGAGCAGGATCAGACGGTACCTCTTAGGACAGACTCTTCATAGATGGACTTCAGGAGGAGTTATCAGTCCTTCCTGTCACAATGATAAAACCATTTCATAATACCACCCAGCACTTGCATTGTTACCTTTGGGTTTTCTTTGGTCGATTAACTGTTGAAGCATCGGTTGACACCAGTTCAACTGCAGATGAACATCCACTTTCATTAAATCCACCCAGTGGGTCATGACTTATTTTGCTAACACCTCAGACAAATACACATACAGACAAACATGATCGTCCCAGAAGATTCTAATCRGTACACCTCCAGAGCCTCTTTTTTTTACCTGGCTCGTGTGACTTTTCTCCAACAGCCCAGCCCAGTGGAGAGGTGGCGGCCCAGCAGGGGGGCTACGAGATCCCGGCTCGCCTCAGGACTCTGCACAACCTGGTGATCCAGTACGCCTCCCAGGGGAGGTACGAGGTTGCCGTGCCGCTGTGCAAACAGGCCTTGGAGGACCTGGAGAAGACGTCCGGACACGACCATCCTGACGTGGCTACTATGCTCAACATCTTGGCCCTGGTGTATAGGTGTGGGGGTGGAGTGGGGGGCATTGTCCCTTTAACTGCTTATATGATGCTAATTAAAAGAAAATATTAAATTGAAGCTGTTTTTTTTTTCTAGAGACCAAAACAAATACAAAGAAGCTGCTCACCTTCTGAATGACGCCCTGGCCATCAGAGAGAAGACCCTAGGGAAGGACCACCCAGCTGTGGCTGCGACCCTCAACAACCTGGCTGTGCTTTACGGCAAGAGGGGCAAATACAAGGAGGCTGAGCCCCTCTGCAAGAGGGCTCTGGAGATCAGAGAGAAGGTGCTGGGCAAGTACCACCCAGACGTGGCCAAGCAGCTGAACAACCTGGCCCTGCTGTGCCAGAACCAGGGCAAGTACGACGAGGTGGAGTACTACTACAGGCGGGCCCTGGAGATCTACGAGTCCAAACTGGGAGCTGACGACCCGAACGTGGCCAAGACCAAAAATAACCTGGTGTGGAAACAGCGCCAGTCTGACCCTAACCCTGCACTATTACCTAACATGCAGTGTGTGTGTGTGAGAGGAAGGCGGTTGCAGTTTGTTTGTGTGTGTTTGTCTGCAGGCCACATGCTACCTGAAGCAAGGCAAGTTCAAAGATGCTGAAGTCCTGTATAAAGAGATCCTCACCAGGGCGCACGAGAAGGAGTTCGGCTCCGTCAACAGTAAGTGCGTCAGCAAATCAGAGAGAAATGAGCTGATTCCCCCCACCCCCACCCCCCACCCTCTGCACCAACGGATTCACCCAGCAGGGCGTGGGATTATTCTGCTGTGCTGAGCCGTCAGTGCTCACAAGCTAAACACCACAGAGAATTGGCACGACTCTGGTGAACGACCGCCACCTGTTTCTTCCAAATTAACAGCTTTTTAATTATTTTTTTCTCATTTGCTCTTTTCAGACGACAACAAGCCGATCTGGATGCACGCAGAGGAGAGGGAGGAGAGCAAGGTCAGGGTTTTTTTCATTTTTTAAATTTTAGGTTGATGTTTTTGTCACCTGGTTTCTATGCTACACACATGGACTCCTGGGGTCAACGAGGATGTTATAAATCACTGTTTAACGGGCTCCTGTTTTATAGTTGCCTCCTCCAACCCCTCTGCTTTGGTTCTCTCATTTGTCTCAGAGTAAACGCAGAGACTCTGTTCCATACGTGGAGTACGGCAGCTGGTATAAGGCCTGTAAAGTGGACAGGTGAGTCAAATGTTCCAGTCCAGATCAGACTTTTTAAAGAGACTTAAAAGATCTGTTGACACGAGTTCAAAGAAACGGCTGGGTTTAAGTCTTTTTGTTTTTGTTTTGAATAGCCCAACTGTGAACACAACCCTGAAAAGTTTGGGGGCGTTGTACCGTCGTCAGGGAAAACTGGAGGCAGCAGAAACACTGGAGGAGTGCGCCACCAAGACCCGTAAACAGGTACGACCCAACCACTCCTGAAGACCCTGCTTACAGAAGATGTGGGGGTTTTATCCGTTCTGTAACAAGATTAGTTGGAAAGGCCTTCCAGCTGTGATTTCTAATCTCATAAACTGTGTGAAAGTGATTTAGGAGTGAGGGCTTCGTCAGTGTCCCACACATCAGACTCATGCTGCGTGAGCCGTTTTTATTAAAGGCATCCATGATTAGTTGTAACATTAGACTTTATTTGATAAACATTTATTTTAACTGTAAAATGAAGACTGTAAAAATACTGTGGGCTGTTTAGTTTTGTAAATTTTTAAAAATATATTTTAACATGGACRGAGCCATTTTATTTACACGCAAAGCATTCTGGGTAAATGATGACGTGGATGGTGTGAGRCTGCTAGCGAGCTATATCCACACTGAAGGTTAATCTTGGACAATATCTGACAATTGGCTCTTTTAAATGAAACCAGAGAGCGTTGACAGAGAGGAGAAGGTAGAAATGACTCAGCCTGTAACTGAAAACATGGATACAATATAGGACAACAGAGCTGCTTYATGGAAGAAAAACCTCAGTTTAGCCTGTTAGCCTTTGCGCTAGCGCTGACGCTATATTGCCTTATATGTATTAGCTCGGTGCTAGTGCAACAAACAAGCTAAACTGAGGTCCTCCATCCTTATTTTCAGTTACAGACTGAGTCATTTTTGTGTTCCCCTCTCTGTCATGTGGATGGAGGACCTCAGTGACGAGAGGAGAATGTGTAGCGCTGAGCTAATACATATATATGGTGATAGCGTCGGGGCTAACGCTAAAGCTAACAGGCTAAGCTGGGATTCCATTCTTCCATACAGGCTGAGTCATTTCTACCTTCTCCTCTCTGTCARCGCTCTCTGGTTTCATTTAAAAGAGTCGATCATCAGATATTGTCCAAGATTAACCCTCAGGGTGGATATAGCTCACTAGCAGCCTCACACCGAGGACCTATTCACGTAATCATTTACCCAGAATGCTTTGCATGTAAATAAAATGGCCCCGTTCGTATGATATATTGTTAAAATTTTAGTTTAAAAATGATAACTGAACATCCTACAGTATTTTTACAGTCTTTATTTTACAGTTAAAATAAATGTTTATCAAATAAAGTCTAATGTTACAACTAATCCGAGATTCCCTTAAAAGCTGTCATTTTTAGCTTTTGCCTCTTTTCTCTTTGGTCTCTCAGGGTATCGATGCCATCAACCAGAGTAAGGTGGTGGAGCTGCTGAAGGACGGCGCAGCCGGAGGCGCCGACAGACGACACATCAGGRACGGAGTCAACGAACCGGGTGGAGGGCGAGGGGAGGGGGAGGACTCTGCTGAGTGGAACGGGGTAACCTCCTGAATATGATTGTTTTTACTCAGTGTCTCATTTTTAYCCTTTTTGTTGAATTAATTATATATTGTTTTCATCTTTAGGATGGTAACGGCTCCCTGCGTCGCAGCGGCTCCTTCGGGAAGATTCGTGAAGCTCTGAGGAGGAGCAGTGAGATGCTGGTGAAGAAGCTGCAGGGCAGCGGACCTCAAGAACCTCGTAACCCGGGGTAACGTTCCTGCCTGTGTGGCATCAGTTAGTGGCTTACTAAGTTTTATTAGTTTCATTACATGTTCTCTAAAACTGTCTGCTTCATGCAGAAAAACAGGCCAGTGTTCCATCAATTATCTAATTATCTTTATAAGCAATAGTGAGCACAGTTCTGCTAATCTAATAGAACTAGCTTTGCATTTAGCAGATTAGCGTCTTGTTGTTGCTAACTTTAGAAACTATTAGCAGACCAATTAGCTTTTTTCTAAATTAGGCATTAAAGATGATGTAATGGTAAAATTATTGTGAACATGTAACTATAATTTATTGACTTTTTGATGGCTGTATTATGGAGCCCGCCCAGTGACATGGAATAAAGAGAAATTATCACGTGGCCAAGGGATAATTAACGCATGCCCACAGGATGATTACGGTGTGGCCACCACATAGCTAATTATTTCTGTCATTTCCATTCAGACTGTTTGTTGTTTACATGGACAAGTCTGAATGAAACCAATTTATTTAGATTTTAATAGAATGAATGACGTTGAAGRAGTTGGAGTGATGCTGCGTTCAGGAAAAGTAAAAAAAAAATTGTTTCCTGACACACACCATTCATTGTCATTTCATAAATATCCTACTATGAAAGATGATGTATTTATATTGGCATACACCAAATAATAATAATAAGAAGAAGAATACGTGTGCATATTTAAACAGTTAAAGACAAACAATGCAGGCTATATGTAATCTGACTCCAATAATGTCTATCTATCACAACAGGGCTGCTCAAAATTAGCCCATTGCTGCCATTTAATTATGTCGTGGGCACGCGTTAATTATCATGTACGCACATGGTAATTTTTTTTTATTCCATGTCACCGAACGGGCTCCGTACTGTCTTGAGTTATGACTAGCATCTAAACTGTTACACTTCTCCCCAGCTGCTTTTAACCAATTCACACCCACACATCAATCTAACCAATCATGGTTTACCAAACTACACCCAAGAAACTCCCACTTATTGACTGCAGAAAGCCTTATTTGCCATTCATCCCAGTTTAAATAAAAACTTTCCGCTCTGACGAGCAGTGCTGGACGTGTTGGGCAATGTGTGTGTATGTAGAGAAAGTATTTGTTATCTGTGGTTCGACTAGCTTCAAATTTTATTTATAAAAAATACAAACTCAATCAAAGAAATGGTTTTATTCTGAAAGGGGTAAACTGGAAGTATCACAAGTTAGACAGAGCTATAACTGGTTTGGATTGGCTGATTTGCCACAAATGATCCCACCCACCTTCAAATTAAACCAATAGAAAACGAACAACAGGTTTGTTTCAATCCCACCAGTCTTCAGCTGGAAGGAGATAAAGACTGACAGTCGTCTTAGTCGTTAGCGATTAGCTGTGTTAACTTCCACTCATTTCATTTGTTCAGCAGATTAGTGGTTAGTGACCCTAACTATTCGGTCCTCAGCGGACCAGTTGACGCAAACTGAGAGCACTGTAGTTCAACCAACTTTTTTTTTTTTACATAAACACCCACAAATTCTTTCCACTAACTTTTTACATTTGCACTAATTAAAAATAAGCACAAATAGATTATTTTCATCGCAAGGTTGAAACAAACACTGTGCAGATCTTTAGTTATACTTCAGTTTACTTCAATGTGGAATTTCTGAATATACCYACTATTATACAGTCTGTCAGAAATAGCTTCAGTTGTTTTATCCCTTTGGTCTGAATGGATGAGTTAATGCTGTCGTTTATTTTTTGTTTTTTGTGCAGAATGAAACGAGCAAGCTCCCTGAACTTCCTGAACAAGAGCAGTGAGGAAACCACGCAAGTACGACTGATTTTAAATTTGATTTATTGTCAAGATTGACTGAAATCTTCTCAGCTGTCGCACTACGTTGTCACTCTGTTTTTTTTTTTTTTCTTTTTCTCAGGATGCTAACTCCGGCCTCTCAGACAGCAGGGGACTCAGCGCCAGCAACGTGGACCTGACCAGACGCAGCTCCCTGATTGGCTAAACCTAATCTAGGAGGCGTGGCTTCAGAGGTCCGACGTGGAGCGGCTGTGTGCGTCTTGGTTTGATCAAACACTCCTGCAGCATCTTTTCTTCTTTTTTTTTTTCTTCTTCTCAAGAACATTAAAAAAAGGCATCACTACACTTGAAATCAGTCGCTGCTGCTTGGCTGTACAAACCGCTGCCATCACTCAGAAATGTGAATGTTTTCAACTCCTGGATGAGCACGCCGCTTACTGGAAAGTGGATCGTCTGCACCTGAGATCCTTGGGTTTTTGGCTACCAGACGAGTCCTTGACCTCGTGTGCACACGCTCAACTTTCCATAGGTTTAGCGTAACGTGTGCCGTCTGTTTCACTTCAACGAGTCGCACTTTTTCCACATGGTACGATCTGTTGGAGAACAATCACTCACCATTTCAACCTCACTCTCTGCCTTCTCGCTTGTTTTTTTTTATGTATATACTGTTTTAAATTATTTGACRTTTCAGTTTCTGTATATAGTGCACTTTATTTTTGTTTACACTGGGTTAAAAATGGTCTTAACTGGAAAGAACAACTTATTCAATTCAAATTCAATTCAAAAATACTTTATTGATCCCAGAGGGAAATTAGGTGGTGTTG